CAAAACCTGACAACCATCTGCCGCTCCTCCGTCCGCAACGCTGCAGCCAGGCGTGTCATCCCCGTTTCCAGCATGGGTCAGCCGATCGCATTGCCCCTACCTTGTTTCTTCTTCACCAAAATTGGGTGAAACATAAAAAAAATGTTGCAGGAGAAATAGCAAAACCGGTTTAAAATAGAAAAAATATTTATATTAGATAGTATTTTCTTCATCCCATAATATAAGGCATTTTTTGCAATCTAACGTGGCTAGCAAAATTGGCTGCATCTGCACATGGTGCACATGCTTTTGTGGTTCTCGTTGAGAGTTCCTTGTTTCGAAAGGAAAAGCCCACCAGATCCAGTCCGACTTGGCCTTGCCCTCCATGTACCAACCGATAGTGTCATGACATTGTGGCAATTGCACGATCAAACCATTGTGGCGTGAGCGCTAAAACTCTGATTGAGTCCACCTCGGAGTATTTACGGCCGGGCGCTTCAAACCCTCCTAATCGCCCGACGGATGGCTTGGTCAGGTTAAAGAAATGCGACCTAGATGGATGGCCTTTAATGCCCGGGCTGACCGGTGACTGACGTTTGAAGGTTCAGATTTACGGCTGTAGATAGATACTCTCGTTGAGAATTGCTTGCTTCCAAAGGAAAATCCCACCATATCCAGTTTGAGTTGGCCTTTGCAACCGAGAGGGAGAGGGATCTCGGGCCAGCGACGCACGAGCAACAGGACAAAGCCACGCCCTCCACGTACGAACAATCGTGACACGAGCCCTAAAAACTCTGACCGAGCCCACCTCATCGCCATGGACGTCAGGCATGGCGTATTCAACCTGTACCGCACGGGCGCGATATATAGGCCGCCATGCAAGGATGGTGCCACTGCCACACAAGACACACACATCCAATCAACCCGAGACCTCAAGTGTCACGACTCGAGACACAACACTTCCCCCGGACCACCATGGATAAGGCATACATTGCCGTCCTCACCATCGCCTTCCTCTTCCTGCTCCACTACATTTCAGGCAAGATCAGCAATGGCAGGCGCGGCAAGGGCGCCGTGCAGCTGCCGCCAAGCCCCCCGGTCATCCCCTTCCTCGGCCATCTCCACCTCGTGGAGAAACCGTTCCACGCCGCGCTGCGCCGCCTGGCCGCGCGCCTCGGCCCGGTCTTCTCGCTGCGGCTCGGCTCGCGCCGCGCCGTGGTGGTGTCGTCGGCGGAGTGCGCCAGGGAGTGCTTCACGGAGCACGACGTGACGTTCGCCAACCGGCCCCGGTTCCCGTCGCAGCTGCTCGTGTCCTTCGACGGCGCCGCGCTCGCCACGTCCAGCTACGGCCCGCACTGGCGCAACCTCCGCCGCGTCGCCGCCGTGCAGCTGCTCTCCGCGCACCGCGTCGCCTGCATGTCGGGCGTCATCGCCGGCGAGGTGCGCGCCATGGCGCGCCGGCTGTTCCGCGCCGCCGCCGCGGCCCCCGGCGACGCCGCGCGGGTCCAGCTGAAGCGGAGGCTGTTCGAGCTCTCCCTCAGCGTGCTCATGGAGACCATCGCGCAGACCAAGGGGACCCGGTCGGAGGCCGACGCCGACACGGACATGTCCGTGGAGGCCCAGGAGTTCAAGAAGGTGGTGGACGAGATCATCCCCTACCTCGGCGCCGCCAACACGTGGGACTACCTGCCGGTGTTGCGGTGGTTCGACGTGTTCGGCGTGAGGAACAAGATCCTGGCCGCCGTGAGCAGGAGGGACGCCTTCCTGCATCGTCTCATCGACAACGAGCGCCGGAGGCTCGACGACGCCGGCGCCGAAGGCGACAAGAAGAGCATGATCGCCGTGCTCCTCAATCTCCAGAAGACGGAGCCGGAGGTGTACACCGATACCATGATCACGGCCCTCTGCGCGGTGAGCTATCCTTTTTCCACCTCCTCTTCTCGTTTGGTCTCTCTCTAATCCACGTTAATTACTATTCCCTCCCTCCGTCTCAAAATTCTTGGGTTAGATTTGCCAAAATACGAGGATGTATCAAGTGATGTTTTAGTATTAGACACATTCGTATGTAGACAAATCTAAGACAAAATTTTTGAAACAGAGGGAATACTACAATTTTGTTAAAGCACATCTAGATATGCTTTAAGTATTGCACATCTAAACCCTATGTAAGTGATTTTACGTTAAGATTTGTGCAAGTATTTTTTTCTTTCTTCCTTTTCTAGTTTTATTGACTCATTTTAGATGTAAAATAATAAGGCACATCTAAGGACATATCTTTCTTTGTCTTAGTTTTTCTTCACCAAGACAATTATTATCTTTGTCCTGGTATATTAGTCCCTTTTATAGTCCGTGTCAAAATTTAATCTTAAATTTAACCAACAAAATGTTTGTCCATAGTTTTTAATTATATTATCTTTTATGACATGTATTAATATTTTGTTAGTTAAATTTTAGTCAAACTTATAAACCATGACGGAGGTAGCTACTAGTACATCCTTAAGATTAAGTCAACAGACAGACAGCAGCGCGACGAGAGTCAGTCTAGCCATTACTCTAATCTTTTACTCCTTCCGTTTTCAAATATAAGTCTTTCTAGAGATTCTAACAAGTGACTACATACAAAGTGAAGTGAGTGAATCTACACTCTAAAATATGTCTACATACATCCGTATATTATAGTTCATTTAAAATGTTTAAAAAAACTTAGTAAGTGATATTTATCATGCATCCTGAAATACTAGAAGCCACGCGTCGTAGGGACTGCAGGAGCATACGGGACCAGAATACTGTCGTGGTGTCTATGGGTTCAGTACTTCAGCGGTCAGTGGGTCACTAGCTAGCCAGCACGGTAGATAACGCCATATCACTTGGTTGGATGGATCCAACATGTCATGTCAGTACGCAAGTGAGCAGACTTTGACTGTTGTGCTTTGTGACAGTACACCGACGATTGTTATGTCTCTTTCTCCCCAATCTAATAAACTAAAACTCCTGGAGGCAATCATACTCATGTCACGATCTCACTGCACTCATTTTCTCGGTGAATTCTCTGCACAATTACTCACGCCACGATCTCACCAATAACCCTCGTTTTCTCAATGAACTATGTGCAGAATTTATTTGGGGCCGGAACGGAGACCACGTCGACGACGACGGAGTGGGCGATGTCGCTGCTGCTGAACCACCCGGAGGCGCTGAGGAAGGCGCAGGCCGAGATCGACGCAACCGTCGGAACCACCCGGCTGGTCACCGCCGACGACGTGCCGCGGCTGGCCTACCTGCAGTGCATCGTGAGCGAGACGCTGCGACTGTACCCGGCGGCGCCGATGCTGCTGCCGCACCAGTCCTCAGCGGACTGCAAGGTCGGCGGCTACAACGTGCCGAGCGGCACGATGCTGATGGTGAACGCGTACGCCATCCACCGCGACCCGGCGGCATGGGAGCGGCCGCTGGAGTTCGTCCCGGAGCGGTTCGAGGGCGGGAAGGCCGAGGGGCGGTTCATGATCCCGTTCGGGATGGGCCGGCGGCGGTGCCCCGGGGAGACGCTGGCGCTGCGGACCATCGGCATGGTGCTGGCCACGCTGGTGCAGTGCTTCGACTGGGAGCGCGTGGACGGCGCGGAGGTGGACATGACGGAGGGCGGCGGGCTCACCATCCCCAAGGCCGTGCCGCTCGAGGCCGTGTGCAGGCCGCGCCCGGCCATGCGCGACGTGCTTCAGAGCCTCTGATCGCCGAGCTTGTTGGCGTAATAATGCATGGTTTTGATAGCCTGCTGATGTCGTAGCAAATAAACTAGTGAGTTGTGACTTTGAGAGCAGAGTCAGGCTAGCTACCATCTGTAAATTACTCGTAACGAATAAGGGTTTTGTAAGAACCACTAGCCGTAGCTATCTTGCGGTAGCACTGAACCAGCAATCTGTAATTTAGCTTGCAATCAAGAATGTTTTGTATGGAGTAATATTTATTTTGGAACCGGTCTTCAGGGAACTACACACACGCCAGCGCACGTTCTGTTGCATGCTCAATAGCCTACGATCGCAACGATAGCTTCGAGGAGTAGTTTTTTTTTGGGACTTCTACTCAGCATTGTTTGACACGAGAAAAAAATCTAGACTCCGGGAGATAGGAAGGGGGAGTGTATTTCTCTCTTTTTTCTCGAATACGCACGAGTGTACGTATCATTCTTTATAGAAGAAGGGGGAGGGGGGAGATGGACTCCCAAATACATCCACTTTTACAAACTTATACATGCGAGTAAAAACCCCAACAACACCTCAGTCCACCCTATATCTAGTTGGATTACTTGCGAGCGCCCCACCCGCTACCTAACGTCTCAAAACCTTTTGTATCGTCTTTGAACATTCCTGCTTTTGCCCAGAGCATTCCTTCCTCTTTTAGGCATTCTAAAACTCTTGTGAGTGAGGGGGTGGCTCCATTGAAGACTATGTCGTTTCGGTGCTTCCATATTGTCCACATGGTGAGGATGCATTTTGCTCTTGCCGACTTCCGGTGCCTTGGGTCTTGGTCTTGCCTCATGCACCAATCCTTAAGGGCTTCATCCTGCATCGGCTCTAGTCCTTGGCGCCCGGTCATCTCCCCCAGCTCGTGCCAAATTTGTCTTGCAAAAAACACAACCGAGCAACAAGTGTTGTATGGACTCCTCATGTTGATCACAGAAGGGGCAAGTATCCTGGTGTGGTAGTCCTCGTCTGGCTAGTCTATCTAAGGTCCAACACCTATTCTTGTTCGCAAGGCACATCAAGAAACGACATTGCAGCGGCGCTTTGGATTTCCACGTGAAAGCCGCCGTCGGCGGTGCTTCAAACCCCGTGAACTTTGCCGCATACGGAGAGCATGCCGAGAAGCTCCCATCTAGTTCCCAGGCCCAGGTAATCCTGTCTTCCACCACCTGCACTAGCTGCTTTCCTTGAACCCTTTGCCACAAGTCCGGGAATTGCCCAAGGGCCTGGTCATTAGGTCTGGGCTGATGTCACCAGCCCATGCATCATTTGAGAGCGCATCAGCGACCCTTCTGGTGTTACGGATCCTTTTCAGTATACGATCATATATGTTCAGTCCCAGCTCACATATCCGATGTCCATCCAACCATCTATCCTCCCAGAACAGCTTGTATTGGCCATTGCCAACCGAGGTCTTTGCCGCCGCATGGAAAAGGGCTCGAGACTCGGCCGGGACCTCGATGTGGAAATCTGCCCAGCGCCTTTCTTTATCTGTCTTCTGTAACCAGGGCCACCTTGCTTGTAATGACTTGTTCAACCGTCTGAGGTTCGGGATTCCAAGCCCGCCAGCCCACTTAGGACGGCATACATCTTCCCATGCCACAGAACACTTTCCTCCTGTCACTTCTTTCTTGCCGCACCAGAGAAAACCACGGCAGATCTTGTTAAGTGCCTTGATGATTTTTGCCGGCAGGCTGAGGGCTAGCATGGAGTGGATAGGAATTGCACATAGCACTGATAACACTAGCGTGAGCCGTCCACTTTTCGGTAACATTGCCGCTTTCCAGTGCGGCAAGAAGTCCGCCAATTTGTCGACCAGAGCTTGCAGCTGGGCTGCACTTTGCTTACGGAGGGTGAGAGGTAGCCCGAGAGGTAGGTGCATGTGAAGGAGGCGGATGCGCACCCGAGCGTGGAGCAAACTCTTGCCGTCTCCTCTTGGGAGCACTGGATAGGATAAACAACACTTCTGTTCATGTTGACCCCCAGCCCTGAAGCCTTTCCGAAGAGGTCCAAGATAGTTCCACACGTGCGAGCCTCTATGTCTGTCGGTTTGAGGAACACCATGACATCTTCAGCAAACAAAGACACCCGGTTTTGTAAACCCGCTCTAGTCAGGGGCGTGAGAAGCCCACGCTCCATGTTGTACTGGAAGAGGCAGCGCAAGGGCTCCATGCATAAGATGAACAGCATTGGAGAGAGTGGAGCCCCTTGTCTAAGCCCCTGGCAGGGAAGGATCGGTCTACCTGGCGTGCCATTTACCACTATCCTCGTCGATGAAGTTGCCAGAAGGCCACAAATCCATGATCTCCACCGGCCTCCAAAAACCAAGCCTCTCCAGAACTTCTGGTACAAACGACCACTTTACCGTATCGAAAGCCTTCGTGATATCCAGCTTGAGCATGACCGTGGGGTGCCGGAGCGCGTGCAGTCTCCAGGCCATGCACTGTACAAACATAAAGTTGTCGTGCAACGTCTGTCCACGTATGAATGCACTCTGGTGGTGACCGACCAGCCTCGACAAGCATTATGGCAAGGGCCTTGTCGAAGATCTTGATTGCCCCATGCACCAGGCTCACCGGCCTATAGTCTTTGATGTCAATCGCCCCCTCTCGCTTGGGCAACAATGTTACAAGTGCCTTGTTTATCACAGCTAGGCCCCTCATGTCACCTTTCTGGAATTGTTCGAGCGCCCGCATAAAATCTTGTTTGATTATCGGCCAGCAGGTTAGGTAGAATCGCCCAGTGAACCCGTCCGGGCCAGGAGCCTTGTCCAAAGGCATGCTCTTGATTGCCTTTACCACCTCGTCGGCAGAAAACTGGACCTCCAGATGAGATAGGTAAAAAAAGGGAGATCTAGCCGGTCCAGGTTTAAGGAAGAAACCCTAGCTAAGGACT